CAGATTTACTATTTTAGTAAATTTTAAAGAAAAAAAAATGTCGGCATCACCGTAAACCGTACGCGTAGTATTACAAACTAATTAATGGCCGCGAAGCATCTGATCAAAACCTCCGTCTCTCTCTCACAACTCTTCATACAAGTTTTGTGTCAGACAACAAGCACACGCTCCTCCGACACTTCCGCTAAAATAGCTGCCTCTCACCAGATCTCTTGCATCCGACCTAACGGCCGTGATCTCTCCACGTCGCCGGACCCCAATCCACTATTTAAATTCACCTTTCTTTCCTTTATTGCTGGTTCTTTCTCTCCTCCTCCTCCTCTTCCGCTTTCCCCGTCGTCTCCTCCACTCTTCTTCTTACACAGGGAAAGAAAGAATCTAGAGAAAAAAAGAAGAAACCGTCGCCGTTTTGTTGCTAAATTGGCTGGATAAAAGGTCAACGAATCCAGCGCCGTTGTGACTGGCCAGCAAAGCTTCTCACTTTTCTCCTTCTTACGCCGCAGATCTAGAAGGTAAGGTTAAAAACGACGAAAATTTTATTCTTTTTCTTTTTCCTGGTTTGCAGTTGGACTTCATTAATCGATTAATTAATCTTAATTAGAGTTAGTTAATTCAATTTTGTTAGATTTCTACTTTGGAGTTGAACATTTTAGTGTGCTTACCGTTAGATCAGTTTCCAAAAGAAAAACGAGGTAAATTTGGTTGAAATCAAACGGTCCAGATGGCGCCGAGCACGATTCGAAAAGCGATTGGGGCCGTTAAGGACCAAACCAGCATAGGAATAGCGAAGGTAGCGAGCAACATGGCGCCGGACCTCGAGGTAGCAATCGTGAAAGCGACGAGCCACGACGATGACCCCGCAGGCGAGAAATACATACGAGAAATCCTCAATATGACCTCCTACTCGCGCGGATACGTTCACGCGTGCGTGTCAGCGGTGTCGAAGCGGCTGGGAAAGACACGTGATTGGATCGTTGCGCTCAAAGCACTGGTGCTTGTTCACAGGCTGTTGAATGATGGAGATCCGGTGTTTCAAGAAGAGATTTTGTATGCTACGAGGAGAGGTACGAGATTGTTGAATATGTCAGATTTTAGAGATGAGGCTCACTCGAGTTCATGGGATCACTCAGCTTTTGTGAGAACTTATGCGATGTATTTGGATCAAAGACTTGAATTGATGCTTTTCGATAGGAAAGGTGGTGGTAGAGGCAGCGAGGCTGGGGGAAGTAGTCATGGAAATGGTGATGATAGATATGGTGGGAGAGATAATTTCCGTTCACCTCCACCGAGGCCGTATGAGTATGATTATGGGGATTTTAGAGGTGATAACGGATATGGAAATTATGGCATGACTAGGAGAACAAGGTCTTATGGGGATATGAGTGAGGCAGTGGGTAGAGATGGAAGAGAGGAGAAGAAAACGGTGACCCCATTGAGGGAAATGAAGCCCGAGAGGATTTTCGGGAAGATGGGTCACTTGCAGAGGCTGTTGGATCGGTTCTTGTCATGTCGGCCTACAGGATTGGCCAAGAATAATAGGATGATCTTGATTGCTTTGTATCCTGTTGTGAAAGAGAGTTTTCAGTTATATGCAGATATTTGTGAGGTTTTGGCTGTGTTGCTTGATAGGTTTTTTGATATGGATTACCCTGATTGTGTTAAGGCATTTGATGCATATGCGAGTGCGGCAAAGCAGATTGATGAGTTGATTGCATTTTATAATTGGTGTAAGGATACGGGTGTGGCTAGATCATCGGAGTATCCTGAGGTGCAGAGGATTACAAGTAAGTTGTTGGAGACATTGGAGGAGTTTGTGAGGGATAGAGCTAAGAGGCCACAGAGTCCAGAAAGAAAGGAGCTTCCTCCTCCACCTAAAGAGGAAGAGCCTGCACCGGATATGAATGAAATAAAGGCACTACCTCCACCAGAGAATTACACTCCACCGCCACCACCAGAGCCTGAGCTTGTTAAGCCCCCAGAACCACAGGAAGATTTAGTAAATTTGAGGGATGAATCTGTCACAGCTGATGATCAGGGGAACAAATTGGCTTTGGCTTTGTTTAATGGTCCTCCAGCAAATAATGGTAATGGGTCATGGGAAGCTTTCTCATCCAATGGGCAGCCTGAAGTGACATCTGCTTGGCAAACCCCAGCTGCTGAGCCAGGGAAGGCAGATTGGGAATTGGCTTTGGTTGAGTCAGCTAGTAATTTGTCGAGGCAAAAGGCAGCTTTGGGTGGTGGGCTTGATCCGTTATTGTTGAATGGCATGTATGATCAGGGAACGGTGAGGCAGCATGTTAGTACTGCCCAGTTGAGTGGGGGGAGTGCCAGTAGTGTGGCGTTGCCAGGGCCAGGGAAGAGCACAACACCAGTTTTAGCTCTTCCGGCACCGGATGGAACAGTTCAGAATGTCAATCAGGACCCATTTGCTGCATCTTTGAGCATTCCACCTCCTTCATATGTACAAATGGCTGACATGGAGAAGAAACAACATTTACTTGTCCAGGAACAGCAGGTATGGCAGCAATATGCAAGGGATGGGATGCAAGGTCAAGCTAGTTTGACCAAGA